CTATTGCCTTTTGTCGTGTCTTCATATAGGCGTGATTGTGATATTGTCTTGTATTTAATTCAACGGATTGAATTAAAGTTTATCGTTTAAGTTTACAGATACCAAGCCAACAGCACCCATTTAAGTAATTTTGTTATTTCTTGAATCATATATTGTATCTTTGATGAATTTATCAATATCAGAATTTCCACTAAAGGATCACATTCTTTACACCATAATTTCTCTGGTGGTTTATCGCAACAAAATCAATTCTTATCGGAGACATTTAATTTATGACTTTAGTTTCGTCTTCATGGCTATTTTCATCCATAGTTTTTTTTTTTTAAAAAAAAAAAAACATCTCTTAAATTTATTATTTCATGACTAAAATTAGATATTCCTGATAACGTGATCGGTTACTGCGGTAATTATTAATATTCTTCATAATTTTCAATAAACAAATAGAAGATAAAATTTGACAAGAAAATAAAGCTTATTGAGTGCAGAAACGATTAAAAAGTTGAAAATTCAAATTCTAAAAATAAAAATTTGTATTAAAAGATTCCGATTTACAACATTTAGTGAGTTAGATCAAAGGAATAAATTTATTGAGTAATATAAATAGTAAAATATTTTATTTAACGCCCGGTCTCAGTGTTTTTTTTTTTTTATTGGTTTCATATTGTAAGAACAGTTATAAAACATAATAAATCTAAATCTAAGATTAAATAATAAACAACGTTTAAAAAAAATTCTAAGATTTCTTAAAAGAAAAAAATTGCCCATAAAGGGAAATCAAAATATTTCATACATTTTCGAATTAATCATAATATAATCTTAATGATTGATAATTGAATTAATGAATATACCGCAAGATTGTACTGTAGTCACGAACTTATAATTAAACAACTTGCCGATTTATTGTAATATTTTTAGTCAAAACGATATTCCGTAGAAAAATTCATTTATTGACTGAACATTTGAACTCTGTATCGGAAGGTTGAAATATTGTTCAAAGTGTCTTGGTTGTTGATGGACGCGTTTCTTTGATGTACTCGATTTGTATTTTGTTGTCTTTTTGCCGACTTCTGTCTCTTAAATGTCGCGCTCTACCGATATTAATTATAGGAGCATGAGCATTGAAAAGTCTATTTTGACTAGAACGCGAACGCATTTTGTGTTTAAAAATATGTATTCTTTTTTTTGAATTTTTTTTTTTTATTTTTCTTTTTATTTTAACCTTTTTCTTTAAAAAAAATTTCTCGTATTTATATCAAAAGTTGCCTAAAAAAAGATGTTTACTAGAGCCCCCGGATTCGCAAGATGCAAAAATAAAAAAAAATGCATTTTGAAATTACCAGAAAATGCAAAAAAATGCAAAAAATTTTTTTATTTAGTAAAAAATACAGTATAAATTTAATTGGAAAAACATTAAAAAACGTTGCACATGACAAAAAAGTTTGCGTAATTTGTGTGACATATTTACTGGGCGAGCATTAGGCTGGCCAAAATTAAATTATTTATTCCTTAAATGGTAAATCATTTAAAGTCATGTGAAAAATGCAAAAAATCCTCGAAAATGCAATAATGCAAAATTATGCAAATGCACGAATCCGTGGGCTCTAATGTTTGCACAACCCTTAAATAATGCTTAACAATTTAAATATTCTTTAATTTAAAATAAACCAACAAAATGTAAATAAATATTAATAAAAAAATTTTTTATTTGATTTTTTTTTCGGGAAGGTACAAATTTTATCGAGTGGTAAAAAAAATTCAAGTCTTACATACGATGCAAACGCTCCAATTGGTATTTCAATCTTGATTTATTTGTTTCAAATCACTTTCAAATCACTATTGATGACTAAGGGGCTTGAGAATATCAAACAACCGAAATAAATGTGTATGTTTTGATTTAACAGATTACAGCTAATTTCAAAAGCTGAAATAACCGAGACAATTCCGAGAAATTATAAGGATTTGAAAATTATGTCGCTATATTCGGAACACTGATCTGAACGTAGCGATTATGATTTTTCTTCGAAAAAAATTCTATACCGAGTTTTAAATGATCGTCCGTCCCCAAATTAACTGTAATGTTCAATTTTTGTGAAACACACATGACCAGCAACGTAGAATTCTATTGGTTGATCAATATGCAGGACAGAACGACATTGCATTGCTTTGACGTAGAAATTGATTGTCCTCATGCTTCGAATTATAAAAAAACTGTAAAGAGATATTTCGTTCCATTTTTTAATATAAATTCTCAAATTTCTCACCAATTAAAATGTGCAGTCGATATTTTTTAATTATTTTTTATCCATAATGAGAAGTTTCTAAAGTTCCTACCTATTAAATCTACATGCACCCGAGGTATGTTCTCTAGATGATAGTCAGGTTAATTCAAATATATTCGACTATTAGGGATACTTTTTTTGATCATTAGTCCAAATATAAACCGTATTATCTGCTATACAATGCCGAAATTAAATAACAAATATCGGAAATAACATTTATTGTTAAAATTTCACTGGTTACTAAATTAAGAGTATGTACGTTTTGAGAGGTTAGAACCGGCCAAAAATTCTTTAGCCGGTTAATAAACCGATTAATTAATCGGTTAAAATTAACTTGGGCCACTACTATAAATTTGGCTGGAATTAGACTATTAATATTAATTCTGGCCGGAAATTGAATTTCGGCCTGATCTATTTTAGCCGGTTATGTTAACCGGTTAAAAATTAACCGGTTTATGAAATGATGTAAGAAAATTTTGAGAAAAAAAAAAATTTTTTTTTTTTTGGAAATGAATTCTTTATTCCCAGTATGGCTTAAAAGAGCTGTTTAGATGCCGATAAATACCAACGTAATACCCCTAGTGTTTTTATAATCACATTAGATATAATTTCATCTTAATAATTATCATGAAGAATTGTTTGTATCGTACAACGTTCGGATATACAACATGAAATGCGCCAAAACTGAAATAATCCTAGTGGGAGAAGTAAACTGTGTTAGTCAATAAGTTGCATCATAACATTAATTATAAACTTTAAATATTCCTCATAAATAATATGGTACATGTACAGCAATTTTAAGTTTATAAAATGAAATAATTTAAATTTAAAATTCAAAGCGTAATTTTCATGCCAATTGAACATAATATTCTTTCAAGCTGGAAATTTTTTCTCTTCAAAAAGTTTTTACAAATTTACTCGGTTCAGCCTGACTCAGCGGGTTGTGACATAAATGATAATCTCGATTCGAAATTAAAATTCAAATCGATTGGCTCGGAGCCTTTATTTTAAACCCGAGTGTAAAAAAAAAAAAATTCTTAAAATATTTGAATTACATAAAATATTATAATCTATTTTTTTTATATTATTATATAAGTCCAGAATATCATTAAAGTTGTTAATAAACAGATCAAATCCAGTAAACTTTGATCAACGACCAAATATAATTAGTTAATTAATTTAAAATAAGACGTGATAGCATTGTAGTTTATCGACATTCTTAAAAGCTTATCCAGCAAAGACGGACAGCCAAATTACCGTAAAAGGACCTTTATGAAATATGCCGTCAATAATGGGGTGGGAATAAATAAAGTTAAGTATGTGGCGGGTTAAATTTTTTGCTCGGAAATAAATATCCATAATTGACGAAAGAAAATTCACTGAACCTAATCAATATAAACCAAATGGAGCTAGTAAAAATTAAAATATTTCAATAAAATAGCTTGACCTCCTTTTGCTCTCTTGCCCTCTTTTTTTTTTTTTTTTTTTATTTGTTCTTCCTCTTAAAGAAATAAAATCACGCAAAAAAAAGAACTTTTCATTATACCTGTATCTTTTTGCATATTGAATAAATTACTCAAACAATATTTAGAAAATTTCTGTTTATCGTCTTCTCTTCCTCCGATAAAAGTAGGAATCATAAGCGAAAATGCCAAGACACCAAACAAATAGAGCGAGACATCAAAGACGCATACGGAATTATTCAAACTTAGTCAATATTCAGAGGGTCCCTCCTGCTAACAATATCGTATCTCCACAAAATCAATTTCTGCCCTATATTGCGAACATTCCTCGACAATCTACGGGCAACCCTACGATAGACGAATTTTTTAACGGGTTCATCTTTTATTGAACCTTTTTTCCGTAATGGAAATAAAAAGTAAAAGTTTACAGTAAGTAACTTGTTTGTTTTAATTTTAAATTTATTTGTTAACTCACTGATTATTCTCGATTCAACTCGTTCATATCGTCCGCAGTAAAAATAAGCTTATAATTTTGTTTTATCTATTCTTAGCTTTTCTAGAAATCATGATGCCTCTGAACGTGCCGTCGATTTTCAAATAGTAAAAATGTGATTTATTGCAAAATTATGCTCCTCATCCAAACACCGTTTCATCGAAAAATATTTTATAAATTGATTGGCAGAAATTTTTCGTCTTCGATTAAATGTTTATTGTTTGTCACAATTTTTTAATTGATGAAATTATTTGTAACGTAAACAAAAAAAAAAAAAAAATATTCCTTTTTTGTACTGTCGATTTTGGAAGAAGAATTCACTTCGTTCATAGCTAATAAATTCACCAAATCATTTTATCTGAAAAAAAATTTGTTATACATATCTAAAAAAAATTTTTAAATAAACTAAATTAACTGCAACAAGCATACCTTGGATGCGACATGCGTGATAGTAAAACCGTACGTAAATTATCCGTATAATATTGATGAAATTATTTCGGTTAGTAAATTAAAAGATTTGGTTAGAAGTATTTGGCAAAACTCGTTCCGAAACTAGTACGTTTAAAGTTCTCCAAAGTATGAAAGAAAAGAATATTTATATATTTGAAAAGCAATGGCTATATGAACAATATTAAATATTTGAACTCCGAAAGTAACGGTGATACATACTATAATTGCTAGTTCTTCAATGTAACGTTTCACTTTCTCATTCACCTTTTTTCCTTATATAAATACTATTTGGTGGCGTTAACGGCGACGTCTTTGTTTTCTCCTTTTTTTTTCTTTCAATGAAAAAATTTACCCCAACGTTTTATTTTTTGGTAATTTTATTATCAATTTATTAAATTGTAAGGCTACGATAAATAAATTTGTTCAGGAACAATACAATAGGTTCTTGAATCATTAAGGAACATTAAAAAGTTTTATTTTAATTTTAATAAGAAATTTTAAAATATGTTTATATTAACGGAAATAACCTAAATATTTCATTTATTTTCCAAAAACTTACAAAATCTAGTTTTTTAATTACATAAATTTATTCTATAAAAAAAAAAAAATTTTCCAGGGTTCCTTCATATAACATATCAATTTTATTGGTCAAATATAACATAAGAGTAAAATTTATTTGTTCAAACTCTAAATAAAATAAGTGCCGAAGATCATAAACAGATATTAAAAAGTTAATCCGATATTTGTAACTAATGAGTGATCTTTGAAGGGCATCCAAATGATAATCCTTCAAAAAAAAAAATTACAGATCACATCCTTTATTTTAGATCAAACAAGAATTTTACAAGTCTAATAATTTATGATCAAAAATTATCAATAAACCTTCGGATTTAAGGATATTTTGGATATTTGCAAAATTTTGTGATTATTTGAAGATGATCCATGCATTATTTGTGTGGATATGTGTGGATATCACTAGTTGTATATTGTTAATTTTACGTGATATATAATATGTCCCCCGCAGTTTTTGTTTAGTAAACAAAGTATGGATTGGCGCGTCGCGTTACATCATAAATGTCGATCATTTAGCCAATTTGCCCTTCAGAATTAAAATGATTTACCAGAAGTTACTGTAACTCCAACGCTGGCGTTAGTATTAAATAGCATTGAACAACAAAAAAAAAGATATACTATGTGCGCATCGACAAAATTTTTCTTATACATAGGTTTGACTAGCTTGCGAAAGATAGCATTAATGATCAGTTAGGAGGAAGCTCTGATTTTGTTTAGGTGTAAATGATCGAAAAAAAAAAAAAAAAAAAAAAAATTGAAACAAAATGAAAATAAACTTTAAACAATATTTATGTGCTTCAGTCGTACACCATTTACTGCTCAAATTTTCATGTTACACGTGCATCATCAAAATAATGCTATAAGGGGAAATTATATAAATCTCCGTATTTAATTGATGGACAATCATTTAAAATTTTTGTTATAAAGAATTAAAATTCACATGCACAAATGCTTTAATCTTTATATGTATTTTTTTTTTTTTTTTTGTAATTAACTATTAATTTACAAGTTTTACGTCCAAAATTCAAATAAAATGCAATTAGTTGAACATATTCGAAAGGTAAATTCATCTTTGAACCGAAGCTTGGATAATATAGGAAAAATAAATTTTTATCGATGATGTACAATTTTTTAATTTGGCCGAATGCTGTACAGTAAATTTCGTCCTCTTGCAAATTTTAAAGTGCTCAAATGAAGCTTTAATTAAATCCAATTCCATTATTAATTATGATTTTTTAAAAAAAAAAAAAAATAATAAAAAAAAAAATGTAAAAAAATTATCTTTAACGCTAAATACAAAAAAAATTAAGTATCGAATACTAAAATATCTTTATACTATCTGGTAAACATGAAATTTTCAATTAAATTGCAAACGTTATTATTTTTCTACTTGACAGGTTTAAATAAAATATGGTCTTAATGTGTAGGTAGTAAAGGAGGAAGCTGCGTGTAAAATTAAAATGAGTTAATGAAAAATCTGGATTTATTCCAGTCTGAAAGTGTATATTTATCCTATAAAAAAAGTTTATTCTTGTTTCGGACAGTTTCCTTCTTTCTAACTATAATATTATGTGTATGTAAGTTATTTTTAAAATAAGAAAATATTTACTTGTCAATAATATATTTGACATATTTGACATATGATAATGAACTTTATTCCATTTTTCGAAGAATCAGGTTACGTAATAGTTGATGTTTCGTAATTTCATTCGACTTTCCAATTTCGAATTGTACATTACCAGATTTATTAATATCTTTGTAACAATGTATTTACCAATTAAGAATTCTGTCGATGTCTTGTGATGAAGAAGTTGATAATTGAATATAATGATCGATTCTAACTATAATTAGTTGTTTACGGGACAAACCTTCTGATAATAATTCTTGATAAAGTAAAGGCTTGAATTGTTTGTAAAAACAAAAAATAAAAATAAACGGAGATTTTAAATGTGGGTAGCACATACATGATGGTTTGATTTTCACATGTAAACTTTTATATTACGTAACTATATTATAATCCGGATTAATAGATTAAATCGGTTTAATTTATTTTGTATCTTGTATTTTTTATTTTATTTTTTTTTTTTTTTAAAAAAAAAAAAAATTGTTACCGACTGTAATTTTTATCACGTGATGCTTATTTTAAAAAAAAATTATTTATATAGGGGTACATTTTAAGGATGGTCCTAAATAAGGATCACGTGATGTAACGAATACAAAAATATCCGAAAGAAATCACCTTACCTTTTTCCCATTTTTTAGTCCGTTTACTCTATCTTTTCTAACTAGATTAATAAGGGTTAGATTATTTTTTATTGTATCCAGTTTTTATTCGCGCTTGAGATCCCGTCCTTTATCGATCAAAATCAGTGATTAACCATACAAATTCAAGAAAACCTTCATTTGATTTAAAAGACAATGGGTTAAAATTTATATACATAAAATGTAAAATAAAAAGAATCTAGACTGTCTGTTATAGACGCGTAAATGATCCATGTTAAGTATGTTACTTTATATACATATCCTTTTAAGTAGTAATAATGAATGACATGACATGACATGCATGCAGATTTCCTAAGAAAATTTTTATTGACCCAGAGCCGTTCCTAATGATCCACTCAACGACAAGACTTTTTATATAGTTATATTATAATTATATTATATATAAGTATCCGAAATAATCACCCAAATTATAATCCTTGATGAAATTGTAAATATATCCAATAACTTACGAAAAAGCGATAACTTCTTTGGGTTTGAACAATATGTTAGCAGGTATAAAATCGAAGACCGCTTTAAAACGTATTATGCTGCTTATTAGAACACACGTTTCTTTTTCAAATAGTAACTTGACAAATAATAAGTGAGTAATTTTCTTTCAAGAAAAAAAAAAAAAAAAAAAAAATATTAAATAAAAAATAAAAAAGCCCATTGTACCATTTAACTTTCGTTTTCATCTAGATATACCAAATATGGTTAAAAGATTTGATTTTGATACAGTTATTTCTCCGTGGAAACGACATTTACAGTTGCAAATAATTATCATGTATAATCGGGACCAGAGTACCGGAATTTTGGTACGAACATTACATAATTCTAGTATGTGATTGTATTAAAGAGCTTTGAAACCCATCATAAATACTGTATATATTACTTAGTTTAATTGATTATGATTAAGCAATTTTCAGCCATTGGTTAATGGACTGCAAAGTTTGAACGAATAGCCAACATTACTTTAGAATATAAAAATATACGTTTATATTATTGATAGCTAACTGTTGAACAGAGCGATAATTGATTATGTGCATGGTCATTTGACAGCTTTCTTTGATTCCTTTTATCACAAGGTATATACCAAGAATATTTCAATCTACCCGTATATAGTAACCCTTGTTATAAATGTTATATAAATAGTTGAGGTTTTGTCTCAACATTCTGATTTTCAAAAATACCTTCTTTTGCAAACGAAAATGGTTAAAGGAAGAAAAGTTGTTACAAAAATATCTAATAGAAAGAGACCAAGAAGATATCGTCCAAATATTTCAATCATGTTAAGTGTTAACGACCTAAATTCACTTGTTAGTATTCCAGACACTTTATCCAACAATTCACACGTCAACAATACGAACTCACCAACAAACACGCTAGTCAGTAACAATTCGAACACGCTACTTAATCCCAACACAATCCCGCTACCTGGTAATCCAAACGCGCAACCAATCCAGCTTCCAAGAAATCCAAACACGCAACCAATCCCGCTAACTGGTAATCTAAACGCGCAACCTACCCCGCAAACTGGTAATCCAAACGCGCAATCAACTACGTTATCTGGTATTCCAAACGCGCAACCAATCCCGCTAACTGGTAATCCAAACGCGCAACCTACCCCGCAATCTGGTAATCCAAACGTGCAATCAACCCCGCTACCTGGTAATGTTCAAAACACGCAGTCCGGCAATAATCCAATCCCGTTTCGCACACCAAATAATAATAATCAATATATGATAAATATTATTGAGCGACTTCAACAACAATCAACGGGGAACGATTCACTTGACGAATTCTATAATGGATTCAAATTTTGAAATTTTTTTTTTTGGTTATTGTCATTATACTAGTAAATTTACAGTTCTTTAGGCTTTAATATAATAATATCGACTTGTTAATATCGTCTTTACAGAAAAAATCTCACGCATTAAAATAGTTATGATTAAGTTTCATTATGGCCATATAAGTATTTAATTTATGTAATTTATGTTTCATAGAATAGGTATTATACACCTTATTATGTAGGTAAATATTTCTAAGATTTTCTTCTTGTATGTATGGGTATTAATTATTATCGTTAAAAATAAATTGAAAAAAATTATTAAAATAAATTTGAATTTGAAATATAAACTTTATTATGAATTTGCAACACTTTCCAAGGAAAGTTTCCGATTCCGATTTTTTGATTGTTATGATTTATTTGAGAAATTATCATGAAAAGAACGAATTGTGGTGACTGTCGTTAGGGACATTAGCCTATAACTTATCCTAAACAGAACTCTCTTGGTTCGGAAAATTAAATAAACTTTTCCTGGGAAAAATAATTCACAAAAAAAAAAAATGGTCGGTAATATTTATAATTGAAGTTATGTTTACATCATTTTTTTTCCAATGATCATGTCTGAATTATTAGAACCGATCATCGAAATATTCTTTCAGTTTTTTTTTTCATTCTTATGTGTTTACTGTTAAAATAAATAAATAAAAAAAGATTATCTATCCTTTCAATAGTGATAGCGGCAAAAGAAAAAAAATAGAATCAAATTGGTTAGTCAAATTGTCATAGATAAGACCTAAAACGGTTATAATTTAACCAAATATATCTTATTATCAAATTCGAATTATCTCATTTTTTGTGATGATTTCCCTTCACAAATAAAAAAGTTCCTTTTCTCTTTCATAGGAAATGCATTTCTATTTCTCTTTCATGAGACAATTAACTTCCTTTTTTCTTTCATGAAAATCTTTGCTCGCCATTTTACAAAATAAACCAGGGGTATAATAAACAATCAATTTAATCTAACTATTGTTCTCTTTGAAACGGTCTGTAAGGTTATCTATTTATGATAAAGCCCAATTTGTCAAGTAATGATATTTCAATCCAACCAAATATGTTAAACCTCTTGCCGAATATCTGTGTTTTTGTAAATCAACCAATTCGAATTGATTTATACGCCTCTATAGTACGCGACACGACAGTTATTCGGAATAACTATACAGTACATCCGATCACATCATAAATAATTTCTGCGGCAAGTAGCACAAAGCAGATTACGTAATAAAATATTTCAAAACGCAACCTTTGGGAATGTTTGTCCTTATTCTTATATATATACTAGGGAACGGGTTCGAAAACCATTGTTAAGTCCGGAGTACAAGTATAACGAAACTGACCAACCACGTATCGACTCAAATTTTGAGCGGCCGGACAAACAGACACCGGGCACAGACATATATAGTCCTTCGTTTACGCTCCGGACTAAAAAATTGTTACATTTAAATTTTCCTACTTATATTATGCGATAACATCGAATTTATGACCGACTAGTGGCATGTAAATCAATGTATGGTTAATCTCCGATTTTTTAAACTAAACTTCGGTACATAAGATTTGGAACATCAAATATCGAAAGCTGATTAGTGAATTGAAAAGTATAGTAAAGGATAACAAAAAAAAATGCAAATTATTAATGTTAAATAAAAAAAAGAAATTTTCTATGAATTTTCTCATTAAATTTTCGTCAAATAAGATCGATTTCTGAGACAAGTAGATCATTTCGCATTGTTTTTTTTTAATTTCGATCCTCAGAATTTCGACACCGCTAATGGTTTACGGTAGACAGTGCACTTTATTCATAATAAATCAGGAGAATATCATGTATAAAAAGTTTTAGGTTTCTCTCTAGTTTGGTCACAAAGCATTTGAATTTAGAAAATATCGGGAGGAGACTGAAATCTGACGCTGATATTCAACCGACGTAAAAAATGCATGACGACGATCGTTAAAGTGTTAAATTAATTATTCAAAAACTTGGTGATATTTTACAACTAATTGTTAGTATATCTTTTTTTGTCAATGTTTTCTTTTAAATTTAAAATGAATATTTACGACCTTGGACTATGTATGCCAAGTCGGTTCTGGAACCGATTAAAAATTCAGCATATCGTGAGTTACAGCCATTTTTAACCAATTTTAAAAAAATCGAACCGGAACGGTTCCAAGAGTCGGCTCAAAATCGGATTGTCTTCAAATTAAAGATAATAATAGGTCTAATTTGTTTGATAACCAGTCAAAAAATTTTTTAAATTTGATCATCACATGATGCTCTATTAGTTTAAATTTAACGCTTCAAGTTTTAATTTACTTAAGAAGAGTCGAAGTAGAACCGAAATGGGATCGATAGAACAGTCCTCATCCCTAACTTGGACCGAAGTATCTTTTAATCAAAATAACCTAGGGTAATGTGGTTTTTACTAACGTTAACAATTCGCATTTATAATTGTCAATCTATGTGAGGAACACTTAAAAACTTCAATCAATAAAATCCTAATTCTAAAATAATCCCATCAGAAACATGATTATTATCAAAACAGGTTTATTTATAAAAATTTCTAATCTCAACTTTGTCTAAAATCATGAATTAAAGATAGATATTGAAAGTAGATGAAGTATAAAAAATGTGTAAAATTATACTGTGGCGCAGCAAATGATCAATCTCAAATTTGAGATTTTTATTAAATAAAATTTCATAACGGCAATCAAAAAAAGATTGAAGAATAAAGAATAAATAAATATATCTTTCAAAATATTTAATCATTTGTGCTCGCGCTAATTAAACTTTATTCGGAAACGTCATTTGCGTAAGCGCACAGATCATGTCGAGAAACACTAATATTTACGTATCACAAAGCAAAAAAAAAAATCACACACACAAATGAATTAATGTAACATTTTTGAATTCAAACGGAAATCCACTTATCTATAATCAATTCCTTTTTTTGCTTCGTTTCACAATTTATCAATTTATCGGAAGTAACAACTCCGATGATTTTTAATGTAATCTTTGATATGCCAAATAGATGGAATAGAAATATGAACGCGGAGATAAGCATTCCGTTATCTTTAGTAACCTTGATTGTATTCAACACTATCGTATTGAAATAGAGTTGAAAGTTCGTTGTTAGTGATATAAAGCAAAGAAAAAACTAATGTTCCCATGATTTTATGTAATGTTTTAAAATCTTTCTTAAAAGGGAATTTCTTTTAGGAATAATTGATTCTTTTGTTTGTTTGTACGCGCTCCATCAAATGACTTCGGAATTATTTTCTTATCAAATGCTGGAATAGATCAATTTTTCAACGCGGAGATTCCGTTACGGCAGCAATCTGAATCTATACTTATTTTGATTTTAAATCAACTTTTTAAAATGGTGAAATCACCATAATTTGATGTAGAGATCGAATTTGTTATATAAAATAAAAAATTTTTTTGATGTTCTCACGATGTTTGACGTTACATAGTTAAACAAAATAAATAAATCTAAATAAAATCTAAATAAAATCTAATCTGTTTAAATAGAATATTTTTGATCAAATAATCGGAATTTCGGAATTTCGGAATTTGTAGAAAGCACACAATCTCGCATGAAAAAGATAAGATTTATCAAGTTTAATAATATTAGGATCAAAGTCCTCCATCAAAGAGATTAAAATTTTTAATCTTTGATGAAGTCTTTCACTTGAACTAAAAAGAGTCGTATCATGTTGCACGTATTTTACATATTTCAGTGTACAAATTTTTTTCTTGATGGGCGTTTTTATTTATAACTACGATAAGAAAATAGAAAATTATGTAACAAATCGTTCTAATAAGAAAACAACAAATAATTTTTTTATCTCGGCGTTAATGTGGGAAGAAAAAGCATCAATAAAGATGCTGAAACCAGAGAACCGCTAATTCGCTGAATCTCATGCTATATAAAAAAATTATAATGATCAAAATTAGTATCAACCTGATTTATCAATTGTATATTCTATTATCTTAAAAAAGTGACAAAACTCCCTAAAATTGATGATTTAAAAAAGATTTTTTTAAAAAAAAGATAAAAATAATTTCATTATTGATATTACGATTTTTAAATTTCCAAAAGTCTATTTAGCAATACTATATGACAACTTTATACTCAATATAGTAAGATTGACGATAAAACAATTATCTAACCTAAATGACTATTATTTTTTTTTAGACACAATTTTCATATAAATATTTATTTTTAGGTTCAATGACTTAGTGTTTTTAAATAATAAAATATAAAAAGAAAATCTAATCTAAAATAAGATTATCAGATAATAGAGATAATTTAATCACACCACTCAAATAGTCGAATATAAACCTTCGCGATCTAAATATTCATTACTTATATTTTTTTCAGTTCTTCATTCTTCTCCTCTCTATGAATCTTTCTTAACTTATCTATATTCCAATTCTTCTTCTTCTACGTTTCTTTTAATTCTTTCTTACTGCAAATTGATCTGATCTACTTTTTCATCCTCCCTCTTTACATTCTCTAATTTTTTTTCATATTCATTTTGAACATGTCTAGTAACCTAATAATACTCAACTATTTTGCGATTTATTTGTTCAAAATTTTCACAATTAACGAGATTTTGGTCGAAAATTAGCTAACCGACTTTGGAAATAAAATGGTCACCTACATATTAACAAGCAGTTATAATTTCATTAGTTAAAATCTAATTAGTTACACAAATTAAAAATGGTATAGTGCAATTTCTTTGCTTGTGATGTATAGTAAATATTGATGCATTATGAATAAGCGAATTTAAAATTTATATATCCACTTCTAGCGAATAAATTTTCCGCGTCCATTGCCGATTCATAAGTCGTTTACGTATAAAAGACACTCGTTTTATTGCTTGTGCCTGGAAAAAAAAAATTTTTTTTTCTCATAAATAATAATAAAATATCAATCTTCAAAAAAAAATAACAAAATTGAAAAATGATTCGTCAAAGAAGAA